ATACAAAAAGACTTGTTATTGATAACAGTGCATCATAAAACCTTCAGAAGGAAAGGAGGATGTTTTATGGACCATTTGTTTTTTTGTGTGGCAGTTTTATTAGTTTTCAAAATTAGTAATTTTTAATGGAAACAACCAGAAATCCGTCACAGACTTTTGAGAGCCATTAAAAACTTTCAAGAGGAAAAAAAAGAGAACATCCCTGATCTAGATCCTTCACCAGCAAGTTCAACAAATATTGAAGGAAGAAATAATTCTAATCTGTACACACTTGTTCAAAGAGAAGAAGAAAAGAGAATGCTCCTCAACTTATTTTAATGAGACCGGCATAACCTTGACATGAAAACTGGACTAGGAGAGTATGAGAAAATTACAGACCGACCTTATTCATGAACATAGATGTGAAAAACAACCTGAGACAAGCAGAACGTACAGAATATAATACATCATAACTGTGTGGGGTTTGTCCCAGGAATGGAAGCATGGTTTCATATTGGAAAATAAATTCATATAATTCACTGTGCTCAAAAACTGAAACAAAAATTGAATGATCTCAAAAGGTGCAGAAACAGTGAGTGAAAAATTCATTTATTATAAAACAAACTAGAAAAAGAAGGAACTTCTTTGTTTAGGAAACATATCTCCCCAAAATAAAAACCTACAGCAAAATGCTACCTAAGAAGAATAAAACAAGGATGATGTCCAGTTGCAATATTTCTCTTAACTTTGTAATGGANCACAACGGCTCACGGCAGCTAAGGAAAGCTCATGCCCTCTGCCAGGCCAGCGACTCACGGCAGCCCAGCTCCAGGTTGAGCTGTTCACCATCTTAGCTGTACAGGGCGCAGCGTCACTGGCCCTCATGTGGGATCCGAACCCAGGCCCTGTTGCTCAGAGCTGGTGTCCCAAGCCAACTCTTAACCAACGCTCCACTGGGCCGGCCCTCAACTCAATTTTTTGTCTTCCTAAATGTTTGGGAGAACAATTTTGTTTTATTTTAGCTTCTCCCGAGTTAATGAGTTTTTCTAGTGCCAAGCATCTACAAAGTGAAGTAGAAATCTACTCAAGGAGTGAGTACCTTGAACAAAAACTTACCTGAAGCTGACAAAGTTTTTAGGCACTAGGTTCAATAAATTAATCACGTTAGTTCATTTATCCATCCGCCCATTCATCCAGTAATAGTTACACAGTTTGAGAACACTGTATTTGGAATAAGTTGAACTAAGTATAAATTGACTCACTTGCTTTTATTGTCTTTTGTCATCTCTAGCTGCCTATCCCCACCGTTTGAATCTCTTTTACCTTGCCAATGATGTCATACAGAACTGTAAAAGGAAAAACGCAATCATATTCCGTGAATCGTTTGCTGATGTACTTCCTGAAGCAGCTGCTCTGGTGAAGTAAGTAAATTCTTACTCCTCTTTGGGATCTAAGCTTAGAAAATTTAGAATTTTAGTTTCCCTTTTGACCCATTATTAGTAAGAACTGTAATTGTTGCACATGTTTGAAGATCCAAGGATATTTTACCCAAATTGTTCATTGCAGCTTTCCTGCTAATACACACATTTTTCTTTTGTTCCCTTTTTTGGAAGCTTGTTTGTTATTCACTGTCTGCCTCTTCTCTCTGAACTTGACCATATATATCTCCTGTTGGTACTCTCTGGCTGTACTTCTTTCAGATTGCTTCTTTGTGTGTGTGTGTGTGTGTGTGTGTGTGTGTGTGTGTGTGTGTGTGTGTAACACATTTTCATACTTTTTTCAGAGTCTGAAATCTTGCCCCCTCCATGAAATCTGTGTAATTAAAGGGAAATGGAAATATTTATTCCCAACTCCATATTGATTTACTCCTTTCTTAGCAAAATTGCATCCAATATTTCCTAAAGTGCTAGAATACTTATTTCCGATCTTATTTTTGCCCTGTTTTAATTGTTTTTCTCGCGTTTCATCCATATTTGTAATTTGTCTGTTTGGTGCAAGAGAGACACACACATTTGGAGGATAAACAATTATATGGAACAATAAAAATAGCTAAATATTTCCTCAAATTATATATTATTAGCATAACATGTAAATATATAAATATTATATATTATTGATTCATTTGTCAGTATTAACTCCGTCCTTTCTTTCTTTAGATCTTTCTTTTCTTTAGATCATTACCTTGAGATGTCTACTTTGGTATTACAAAAGATTAAAATATGGTTCTATTGATTGTACTAAGTAATAAAGATATATACACTTGTCAGAAGTACATAAAATAATAATAGCATCTAAGATTTATTGAATACTTGAAATTGACCAGGTATTCTACAATATTGTATATGTGTGCTTTAAGTCATTTAATCCTGAGAACAGCTTTAGAAAGTGGCCACTACTGTGTTTCCCCAAAAATATTATATTAATTTTTGCTCCAACAATCTACATTTATTCATTTATTTATGCACAAAAATCTACATTTATTCAAATAGTCATGACTGGCTGACGATCTTAACTGGGGCTTATGTTTGGCGTAAGGCTTTATGTTACGAGCATCCTGAAAAATCATGCTAGGGCTTATTTTCCAGTTAGGTCTTCTTTTTGGGGAAACACGATAGTATTATTCCCATTTTAAGGAGGAGAAAACTGTGGGTTAGATTAAGTAGCTTGCCTAAGCTCTCACAGCTCCCTGGGTGGGGGGTTGGGGGAGTGGGTCCTGTAGAATTCCCACCCAAACCCATCTGGACCTTAAAGCCCCCATGTTTGCCACTTAACCACTAATCTCTGTTGCCTCTTTTTTTTTTTTTTTTTAAAGCTTTTTATTGAGGAATTGGGGGA